CATATCAAGATAATCTAAGGGAATCGCGACTCAGTGAGATGCGTCCATGTGAATTCAGTAAGGCGATACGACTGATCCTACCGACTGGAAGTTTTGTTGACAATTTTAACTTCCGCTCATCTGCAGACGCAACTACCGAAGTCAATGACCATGAGGACGTGGGGGTAGAGTACACGCGAAGAAGAACCGGTACAAGTTAACACGACTATGTACAATAAGATTAGAGAGCCCAGTGCGATCGTCTAGCGGATGTCGTTCATTTATTGCAGCAGCGCGTGCACTCATGGATAGCAGCCCGGACGCAGAACTGTCAGGCCACCAATTCTCGTGAGAAAAGCCACATAAACAAATGGGTGTTTGACGAATCTTAAAAGTGTAGACGAACAAACAAGAAACGGATGGAGGGAAACTCTGAGTTGAGCACAGCCACGGCACTCAGAGCAGATGACGGTGATCACTTAGGAAGACCTTGTGTCGATTACAGCTTGGTTCCATCGGGTAGTAGTATTCAGTAGTCATGCACTCACATGGCACCAGGTGAATGCCATAGTGTTAGCAGTTCTGGACGAAGAATGACCATATCAGCATGAGGTTATCGTCGGTGATGCTGAATAAAGAACTATAAATAAATCCGGAATACCTACCTTAATTTGAACCAAGCGCTCATGTGTAATAATGCCGTTTACTGTTGTGGAAGCACCCAATAGCGTCGTCGGAAAACACTTGACATGGCTATGCTACCTGCTCCCCAGTTTCTCAATGTTTCACAGGATGCTGCAGCTGCAAAATTCAATAGTCCCGCATTTTAAGATGTTGAAGCGCACTACGCGAAAATTCAAAGATTATGCCCAAATCTACTACGATGGGCTGAGGCAGCCCTATCAAGTGCTAAGTCTCTGCATGAGATGTTTAGCTTCTTGAAGCCTGGTGAACAATTTCCTCGTACAATTCGTAGGGCAGTATTACTGACGTTGAACTAAGATGACTTCTCAGTTGGGACTGCAAATAATATTTCGCAGAATGCGTCCCCAAGAGGAAACAAAAGGACTATAAAGAAAATTCCTTAACTCTTTCTTTACAACCCGATCTGCTGGCAGCAAAACGCCGACTGCAAGTGATTTCATATAAAATTAAGGCTGAGCAAATTCACAATTACCGACATGAACTATGCACCGCGTCCGGCATTTCGAACAGCAGCTCAACTGGGCCAGCGGCACCGAGTTTTCTGTACAGAAATCTAGTGTTTCTCAGTGCGTGGACTTCTCCCAACATTCTAAGTTGGGCAGCGTCTTCTGAAGCGCCGCATAGCTCCGGCCAAGACAAAGTCCCCCAAGATTTTGTTCACAGCCGAAGCCCATCCATCGTCTATGAATCAAAGTTCCCTCACAAAGGAATTCGGATCAAAAGAAGCTATCCCGTCCGAAAGGAGTTAAGTGGAGATATGCTGCTCGTTTGCAAAATAGTTGCATCTGAAATGCTCGCCGCTTTTCTGCTGGGGAGACTGAGCTAGGCATGCGAACAGCACACGCACAAACGGTGAGGAGGAGGGTTTCGCTCAGGTCGGAACTGTCCTGTACGATCAGCCGAGAAGTTGAGCGGCCTCAAACGTTTGGTGGGCGAAGCAAACATTATAGATATGAGTTGCGTTTGATGGTGCAGCAACCTTGAGATATCCAGAGAGAAGCAGGCTTACATTCTCCAAGATATTCAGATCTCGAACCTTGAAAAGTGTGCAAATACAGTGGAACCACTTTATATTTCAGCGTCCCTGATATCAATAGATAGGGTCACTCGGCAGAAAACTCCTATTCGGCTTCACCACCGATGATATTCTAGTGCTCGGGAAAACTGAGATCAGTGAAACTAGGCTGTTTCCGACGGATCGCCTCCTCAATGTTTGATATGCTGGTGAAACGCTGTTATATACTATCAGTCGCAGGTGGGGAGTTCCATCCAATAGATCAAAATGAACCCCCTTTTACCAAGATTTAGTCTTCCTGCAGAGTTGGTTCGAGGTTGTTCCCAAACTCACTGTTTTCTAGTTATTCTTCGGAAATAAGAGACAAAGTTGTCTTAGCCAATCTCCGTCACCTCTGATGTCGACGTGACTTGAATTTCAGAATGAGCGGTTCGGCTTCATGGATGTATCACTTGGCATATTCACACAAAAGCAGTTCAGGGGCTGTATCTTTGATCACTACCACCTTCGGAGCGTCAAGGGTAAACAATGGCAACTTCCCCGTGGTGTCAGCGGGGTGGTTTTGGTTAATCGCGTTCCAGCTAATGGTTCGACGGGAGTGTCCCAGGATGTGGTGGGTTTCCGCTTGCGTTCTCCCTATAATAGCCACAACTGCCTGTTTAACAACGCTGCGACGTGGCGGATGTGACTCCCTACTTGATCAAGTCACTGCTTCTGGCTTTTCCGGAGGATCGTACGCACTTCACGAACGTAATCGATTTCAATGGATTTCTTTGATAATTTTCCTACGATGGCGAGTCTATCTCACAAACCCAGAGCAACATTAACAAATCCACTCAACATGGCTACTTACACACACCTACATATATTATACACACACAAAGCCAGTGTTACTGATTAAGTTGCAACATTTCTGTTCAATTACTGATCATAAGTGTTTTTATCACGATGATCATGCTTCTGCAGGCGTGCGTCGCACTGATGAGAATAAACCACTTAGTTATTTAGTTAAATGTTGATAGTGGCCGACATACGCTTCAAATCAGACAGTCTATGTCCATCGCTTAGCGGCACAACGTAACTGCACCGGCTTTGATAGCACCTGCACTGAATTTGATCAGAAGCAGAAGCGAACTGCCCAACGAATAACATGGGCTCAAAATTGGCCAAAGTGGATTGCTCTCGAGTCCTGAGTGGGGACGCAAACACGCTTGGTTGCTAACACTCTCGAGTATGTTAGAAAGTCAGACTCAATGGCAGACAATTGAGACATTACACTTCGGAGTACAATGTTGTATACCTTCTCGCCATGCTTCCCTCATCGGTGACATTCAACCAACGACACTGGTACCTGTTAAGCTCTGTAGATACCTGAATTAGTTCCACCGCATCTTGGCGATATTGACTAAGTGTTGCAGGATGATTGTCAACAATCCACCATCAGCTCAGTAGACACCCACATCTATGTAGCAATGACACTACGTAAAACTTTAAAGTAGAAGTGGGTAACATAAGAGACACGAAGATCGCAGCAGCTGCCGTGAGAAAAGGAAGCGTGGTAAATATAATGACAGAAAGAAGAGCAAACTAGGTTGATTGAATTGCTTAACCATGACCCGAACGTTGGTGTACGACAGACCAAATAGGATTCACTTACGTCAACTTAGGTTAAAATGACAGAAGGAAAACGAAGGGAAATGCGAAAAACTAACTCAAAGAGCAAGAGAATAGGTCGAAAAAGCGATTTAGGACGGCCGGGTAGAAATGCCTAAGCAAAAGGCAACGTGTTGATTCAAGAGTGCTACTGACTCCGCAGCTGTTGTGTTCGATGAGGTCAAAAAGCATTTCGCTGCTACTCAGTACTACGAAAGTAAATGGACTTTTGTCCTATAAAACGGCAAGTGCCTTGATTGGAAAGTGTAGAGCTGCATGTTAGTGGGGGCACTAATGCTCCCTCAGAGGAAAAGATTGCCCAAGTGATGTGTAATGCATTGGGTTCGAGTGAACCAACGCAATGCAAGATTATCAACAAGTTGGCCAACTAACGGTTAAGATTGCTGCAAGTTTCGTGCGACGAACAAGGGAGAGTTCCATAACCTCTAACCCGCCCATCAGTAACAATGCGTAAGCGCATATTTTGGATGAGAAGAGATGGAAACGTGAGCTGAGGCTGTGGTGTGAACCCATCAGGACGCGCAGGCAAAACAGACCTCTGCGGAGACCAGATCTAAAAGGCGTTCGACGTGGGCGAATAGGGGAAATTTGGTGCGGCCACCTCCCCACCGAAACGAAACGGACAAGGGGGTATTCTGAGATTGATAGGAAGAGCTGTGTCAACGGAACGAAGCAAATTCAGCAAAATAGAGGGGGAGGAATGCGGTAGAATCGATGTGTTGAATTCGCTCGAGTAGAATGACTGAGACCGTGAAAATACAACACGATATGGAGAAATGATAAAAAAGTAATAAAGAGACGCGGGAACGTGGTGTATAGACGGCTAGTGATAGATGCGCTGAGCAAGCAGACTTGTAAGAAGAGAGGAATCATTTAGTGAAACCAATACGGTAGGTTCTCCCACAAGATATCCAGCAGTAAAGCTAACACAGTCACTACTTCTCCAACGACCGGTACACAAAAGATGGGAGAACACAGCCAATTTGACCATCAAAACCAGTGAAGAAGGATAATAGGAGCGAAACAGCAAACGATAAGACAACTACAGTTGAAGCATGTGTACAGAACTATAGCGTACGTGTCCACGAAGTAGTGATAAGCACGAGGAGTTGGGCCTTAAGGATTTAAAATTATAAGAGCCACATGGATAAAAATGTGGACAACCAAACGAAGATACTCAGTGTCTGTAAGGCGCCAGATGCCAGCTTGGAGGCGTCACGGGAATGGGACGCCAACTGGTGTGCGTGTGTGGGGATGAGTGAAGTAGCACTACAAACAACTGACAGATTAGGTAGGGAGCGAAATCGCTCCATCACAGAGCCGATAGGGGAAAATAAAGAACCGACGAACACGCTATAATACAGATCGACAGTGTGCGAGCGGTGTACACGAAGTAGCAGAAACCTCCGTACACACGGGGACAGAGGGTAGGGGATAGCAGTTTCATCGCGAACGGCTCCAGCAACGTGTGCGACACACGTGACATCCGAGCAGGTCGGTAACAATAAACAATGCTCACGGTCGAGATGCATACGAAAAGGCGCAGAAGAATTCAGCGTCCAAACTGCTTAGAACTTCTAGAATGATGGAGCTGTCGCTGAATTTATCAGTAAAAGAATAATTTAGTTCAAATCTTGTGAAGTTTTGAGCATACAACCTGTGGATTAGATCGTCGGATGTCTTCTTGGCCCGCCTTTCGATAATCGTACGAGCAATTGTGGCCGTCCGAATAACGGTGCAAACTGCAGAAAACTCCCCCACATCGACAGGAATAACCTTGAACAGAAATGAAAAACGAGATAAAAAGGTTGTGAGGAACAACCCAGGGAGTATTCAAGAGAGGGGGGTAGTAGAACTGGATCACATTTGAGCATAAACAGTGCAGGAACATAATGATCAAGGATGAGAACCACAACCGAGCAACACATGTAGAGCATGGTGAATACGCCAGAATGGATGCTACAAAGTATTGATATGCCAGATAAACTGTCGGCAAATGCATAGAATGCGATGATAAGCCCTTACAAAGATGAAATATGCGTGTAAGGAAGTATACATTTTTCGACCAGTTTGTAACTACACCTCGAGAACGAGAGCGCAACATGACATCTGCGTTTGCATTGCATTCTACTGTCGATAAATAGTAAACGAAATGACCACAATGAAAAGTGCGGACACAGGAAAATGACTGTGGTCGTCCAAAGGTAGAAAAATTAAAAAAACCGGCTAAAAAACAACCTGTAATTCAATGGTTATTTGAAACAGTCGTAGTGTGAATGAATTACATAGTAGTATTAATAGTAATTTCAAAAGGCTAGCAACCAGACATAGAGCCAACAAAAATCATGGAGATTAGCGGATAAGGGAAGTCACCACGCCATAATCACCGTGGCATAGCAGTTGAAGGTGAGCAACACACTTCAGCTAATATGCCGCAGGAAGAAAGGAACATTTTGACAAAAAGTAGAACAAAACATTTTTAGTTTGATTTTCGCATGCCAGTTTATATCTTTTTTGTTATTTGCAATGTTTGTATACAATTCCGCACACAAATCTTCCACTGATTCCCGTTGCGGGCCATGTCTTCAAGGGTGATAAGCCATTGGCACTCCTCATTTTTGGGTCCCTATCCTGAAAGACGTAAGGGTCCAACAACGGCTAGACACGTGAGCGATTGCATGTGCTGTCGCCAATTAGAAGCCTGACCACCACACGGTTGCCTCCAGCCAGGCCCTTGACAAGCGCAATGCGGTAGACGCTCAGGTGCCATGCGTAGGACGTGACCGAGCCATCTCAACAGGCGCAGCAAAACAGTTTGTTGAAAAGAATACTTGCATTCCCCAAGACGCGATGTCGAACGTCATCACCGTGACCTGGACGTTGTCACCAAACACGAGCAACCCATCTTAAGCAAACTTTATCGTAGATAGAAAGACGACGCTTAACTTCCAAGCGAATTGGTCAGGACTCGCTGTCATACAATAACACTATGCGAACAGATGCGCTGTAAACGCGAGCCTTTAGCGAGAATGACGTCGGGACGACACAACAGGTGCCTTAGATTGGCAAATGCTGATCCTGCTACGGCGATGGAGAAATTTCTTTGCTGATAGTGTCGTCAGGAGAAACACAGCTCCCAAGGTAGACGAAAATATCTACCTGTTAAAATTGTGCAATTTCGAGAGTGAACACTGGAGCAGGTTTAAGCCACTCCTGGAGCAGTACTTACACTTCGATGGGGCGAAGCTCATGCCATACTTAGACGTTTCAACCGAAAAAGGATCCGGTTACCGGAGATCGTTCGTATCAGCCTTCCAAGCCAGCTCTCTGTCTGAAGCAGCTCGGAGAAGTTTGGTCGCATGCCGCATGTAACTGATTGGTTAGCCAATGAAAGCAAGCTAATGGCATCGTTTTAGCTTGAAATGGACCAATCAGAATGATTTGCCTTGAAGTCCTCCAGTAAGCACACTAATGGATCAGCCAGCAGGCGAGTTTTTGTAGAAAGTAGAAGCCACAATTAAACTTTGCACAAAAATCTGCCTCGACCGGTAATCCGTACGTCCGGGGTTCGATTCCTCGTCGAGGCAGATTATTGTGCAAAGTTTAATCGTGGCTTCTACTTTCTACAAGAATTACACTACTCACAAAACCAGTTGCTATAGTCAGGAACGTTCAATTAGGTCTTTCCTTTCATGAACTATTTATTTTGACATATTTTGGCTGTCTTCTGGGTACTCCAAAGAAGTTCCGCCAAAGACCTTTGTCTTTTGATTTTGGAAGTGGCTTTATCGTGACCAGAGTATATATATATATATATATATATATATATATATATATATATATATATTGCAAAAGTCTGCTGACAGATATAATGCCATCAGAAACCATGGGATTCAAACGAAGGTACAGAAACAGTAAAATAAAACACAACACAACAATGTCCATGGCTTGTCAATAATCGGTACAATGGTTTGAAACTGTGCAAGAGGGACAGCGACAGTCTCACTGCCCATGTAGCAATAGTGAAGCGAGAGAGCCCGGAATTCAACATGAAAGCACTTAGTGAAGACCAATTTGAGTGTCTCATAATAGTATGAAGCCTGCAATCTCCAAAGAATGTCGACATCCGAACCAGAATACTCGTTGTTGGAGCGAGACCCGGATGTTACACTATAAGCTGTCATTGCAGATAACCAGAGAATCATTAATTTAAAACACGATACAGCTATGGTCGAGGATACGAAGGCACATTCCAATGATTTCGCAGTTCAACAGATTTCGAGGAACAAGTTTCAGGCCACTGATCGCAAGAAGACCCCTCAAGGTAAGCCACCATCAGCATGTTGGCAATGCGGAGACTGGCATTTTGTTAGATAGTGTCCATGCAACAAGCATATCTACCAGAAATGTCGTAGACGTAGGCAAAGAGAAACGCATTGCAGATCCAAGCCATTTTCAGGCCGGTTCATGACGCGCGAAAGGAAACCTACGGTGGTTTCGCGAGGAGAGTGAACGCCAATCTTACTGACGATGTCAGAGATCGTAGAAAGTACAGTAACATAAACATCAATGGAAGACAGACGCGTTTGCAAATTGATAAGGCCTCAGACATTACGGTCATATCAGGAAGGCTGTGGAGATTTGTCGGGTCACCAGAAATCAAACCAGCCGAAAAGTGCATCAGACACCGAGTTGAAATTGACTGGACAAGTCGATTGTGAGTGTCGTTATGCCAAGTTTACTGCATGGGAAACGATTTTTTTTCACGACACCAGAATTTGAATCTTCTGAGTCTGAACTGGATCGAGTGTTTCAACGTACTTGATGTTCCGATCAACCAGATTTGTGCAAGTGTCCAGATACACAAGATAACAGCTCCTAAAACTGTAGCCATCAAGCACCTACGAGAGTAATATGCAGCAGTCTTTCGGGAAGGCCTCGGTAAGTGCACCAAAGTACAAGCTTCGATATCCCTTAAGCCCGATGCAGTTCCAGTGTTTCATACGAGACATCAATGGTTGACCAGAAGCTGGATCGCTTAAAAAGCAGGGGTTATCCATCCGGTGAACTACTCGTCTTGGGCGGCACCCATTGTGGTGGTCAAAAAGCCAAACGGTCAGATTCGAATATGCGCCGATTTCTCGACGGGTCTAAATGCTGCATTGAACGCCCAGCAGTACCCTTTACCGCTCCCAGATGATTTGTTCGCAAAATTGAATGGTGGTAAATGTTTCGCAAAGCTGGATCTCTCTGATGCATACCTGCAGATCGAGGTACATGAAGTGTCACGAGAAGTACTCACCACCAGTACGCATCAAGGCTTGCACCAGTATCACCGTCCCCGTTGGGAGTCAAGTCTGCACAAGCCATATTCCAGCAGATCATGGGCACAATGCTGACAGATGTCAACGAAGCAGCAGCATACCTGACGACATCATTGTTGTAAGAGGTAGTGCCGATGACCTATTCGAAAAGTTGGATAAAGTTCTTGGCCGTGTTGAAGAATATGCATTCAGGCTCCGACCTGAAAAGTGTACCTTCTTTATGGACTCGATTACATTTCTCGGCTTTATAATCGACAGGAATGGCAGGCGTCCAGACCCAGCGAACATCGAGGCAACCAAGAAGATGCCGCCGTCCAAAGATGTTGCAACGCTAAAGTCCTTCCTAGGACTCATAAGTCATTACAGCCCGTTCTTACCGCACATGCATCTCTTGCGTAGTCCACTCAATGACCTGCTGACCAAGAATAAACGCTGGAAATGGTCTGAAGAATGCCAGAGCTCATTTGACGAGGTAAAAAGGCTACTATGTTCCGACCTTCTGCTAACACATTACGACCCTACTTTGGAGATTGTGGTGGCCGCAGACGCCTCGAACTATGGCATTGGTGCAGTCATAGCCCACAAGTTCGCAGATGGTTCCGAAAAGGAAATTGCACATGCAGCCCGGTCGCTGTCTGCCGTAGAGCGAAATTATGGCCAGATGGAGAAAGAAGCTTTGGCGATAGCTTTCGCTGCGAAAAAAATTTCACGAAATGCTGTACGGAAAGAAGCTTACACTTCTTACTGAGCATAAGCCGCTGTTGGCAATTTTCGGATTAAAGTCGAGCATCCTTGTCTATACGGTAAACAAGTTGAAGCGGTGGGCTACTATATTACTCGGCTGACTTTACGGCAAAGCACATTTCTACGAAGGACATTGGTCAAGTCGATGCACTTTCCCGGCTATTGGAAAGCCAGCAGTGCCAGCAAGAAGAATCTATCATTGCAGCCATCTCTCTGGAGTCGGAAGTGAAACAGGTGTTAATGGAAACGCTCAGAGAACCTCCGGTAACTTTTGTGATGATACGTGATGCATCAATGCGGGATTCTGTCCTACAACAAGCGGGCAGATTTGATACTACACAGTGGCTGAAAGACAACCTAAATGAGGAATTGCAAAGCCTGTCCAGGAGAAAAGACGAATTATTTATCGTCAATGGCTGCTTACTTTTGGCGGAAAGAGTTGTTATTCCTAGTGAGCTTGGCCTAATAATTCTATGACAGTTTCATCGTGAACACCCTGGCATTAACGGAATGAAAGTGATTGCGTAAAGTTACGTTTACTGGTCGAATATCGACTCGGAGCTGGAACACCTAGAGAAATCATGTGCGAAATGTGTGCTTGCAAGCAAGGCGCACAAGAAAGCGGAATTGTCTTCTTGGTCATTGTCAACGAAACCGTGGGAGCGAGTACACGCGGATTGCTTTGGTCCAGTGAATGGACAACAGTAT